AATTAGGTCCCAATTGTTTATTCTTGCTTTTATTCCTTCTAGGAAAAACTTTTTGAAACTTTGCTGTTTTAGGGGTGCTGATGGCATCTATCTTCAGGTATAACAGTGAATATGATTTAGAAGTGAATGATTATAAAGGTTTATGTGGATTTGGGCCCATGTCTGTTCACACACAAGTCATTTGGTTAGTTTCCTTCTTTTCTCACTGCAGCCAGTACCACCTTGTGCAACCTGATACAAGTATGTAATGAAGAAGAAAGGGACCAGGGCTTTTATAGCGCATGCAAGAGTCCTAGTTGATTGTACAGTTCCAACCAAAGCGTCTCTCCCCATATAGGAGATAGAGGCTTACTTCAGTTTGACCTCCATCTTCAGTTCTACCTCTGTGGTAGAAGACCTATGTGCAGAAAATGTCTCACATTGTCTGAATCTGTCAAATAAATGACATCATGGGAATCACTATGCTGGATGGGATGTCAGGCACCACCTTCCTGTTGACCTTCTATTTTCTGTGTTTACATTCCTCAGGCCTCTAACCTTGCCTGGCCAGGGCGCGCAAATGTTTAGGATGGCTACCCTGGGCATGCTGCTCGGCATGTTGATGGCGTCCTGCTTCACCTTCTGCCTCAGTCATCAGAACTCGGTAAGTATCTTACTGTAAGTAGAGGGATCTCTGTTGGATCCAGGAAAGCCTCTGTGTCACCACGGCTGCTGTGGGAGCAGGGTGAGCTTTTATTTGTTTCACAAGAATGTGACCAGTGCTGGGTCACGGAGTAAGTTTACTTCTTCCTCCCATCCCTTAGTCCTCTGGCCTCTTTTTAAAGCTCAGGACATGGTTTCCGTTTGGGGAAAGATGATGAGGTAGTCATATAATAATGTTGGTGTTGTTAATTATAATCTTGCCATTTACCCAGTATTATACTAAGTGTTTTATATATATATTCTTTTTTAACATTTTTTTATTGAGTTATAGTCATTTTACAATGTTGTGTCAAATTCCAGTGTAGAGCACAATTTTTCAGATATACATGAACATACGTATATTCATTGTCACATTTTTGTTTCGCTGTGAGCTACCATAAGATCTTGTATATATTTCCCTGTACTATACAGTATAATCTTGTTTATCTATTCTACAGTTTTGTATATATTCTTATTTAATCCCCTCAACAACTCTGTGAACTGCAGACTGCTTCTTCCTTTACTCCCCACTTCGGTGTGATTTCTCAGTCTGTATCTCTGTATCCTCTTTTCCTCTGTCTTTTTCTACATGTTCTTTCCAGGCTCCTCTTGATCAACCCAGGCCTTACTGCTCAGGGTTTATGTCATTGCCAAAGTCAGGGACAGAGTGCCCCAGAAGGCCCTGAGCTTGGCTTACTCACAGGGTGTCCTGGCCCCATTTCCCTGGCCTGCTCCAGCAACAGTCTGCCCTTGACGAACTCCCAACACCCTCTCTTCTCTTTCCCTTTAGATGCCCTGAATGTCTGCTCTCTGACAGTTTCACCACCCCTGGCCACCTTCCCCAACCCCAGGGTTCCCACTTAAATGTTAGGTAAAGTGCTAGAGGCTTTGGAGCTTGAGGGCCTTGAAGTGCAAATGACAATTGTGGTGAATTTAATAACAGTTCAGCTCAGCTGAGGTTCACCTCTGGCTCATGGCAAGCTTCCACTTTCTCTCTGAAGTCATTTGTTTTCTCTCTGCCTTTCTCCCCCACTTTGTATAGCAGGAGAGAATGTACAGTTAGGAGTCATGAATCCTTTTAAGCTTTTAATGCTCTTTGACTAAGATTGTGTTACTGCTGGGGTTTTTTTGGTCTCCTCTTCGAGGATAATAAGAATGGAATCCCACTGGTCCCCGAAGGTAGAACTGGCCACAGCATGAGGTTGGGGCTGTCTCTGGCATAACCTGGCACAGAAAAGCACCCAAGTGTCTCTGTAGATCAGGGCCATGTTCCCTTCAACCTGCAGCTCATGAGAATCTGTGTGCTCCCCATCATGAGCTTTAGCAGATACACAATTAACAAAAGCATGCTGATGAATTTACTTATGGACCGTGTATTAGTAAATTCCCTTTTGGATAATAGTCCAGCCAGATAGATGAGCTTTCAGAGCCATAATTATTCTGGCCCATTTATATTAGCTCTATTGAGTCTAGTCTCAGAAAAATGTTAATACTGACTTTCATCAGCAGAAGCTGCTTTTATCCTTATGTCTGTTCCT